GAGGTCGCCCTGCGCCGTGGCCGGTCTCCTTTCCCGACTGCGCAGCCCCACCGTCCCGCCGCGCGACCACCTCCCCCGGCCCCGGCCTCCTGCCCCCACCTCCGAGGGAGAGCCCAGAGCCAAAGAATTCGCTCCGAGCACACAGGGGACAAATAAGAGTCCAGATGAGCCCGCCGCATTGGGAAACTCACATAGTTTCAACTACTCAGGGCACCAAAACGTATTTGAAGTGACCACAGCCAGAACCAGCCTTGATCAAGCTAAAGCGCCCCCCACCACCACCAACCCAGCCTCAAGCACGGTGAATATACACCCTGAGCAGAGGCAGTAAAAACAAGGGTGCATCTAACAAGGAGCTCCCCACACCTGGACAATTACACAGCTACACAGTATGTCCTTGCACGCATGAACACCTATGCGGGGCAAAGGGCCCCAGCAGTGGCCTGCTTGTGATTCCTTCGATGATCAAGCGCTGAGCCACCCTGCCTTACCAGTCTGGTCAGCCCGCAGCCAGAACGGGGGCAAACGCCCAAAAGGAGGGAAGACGCACTTTAAATTGGCCCTCATTCGGCTTGAAGAGCCAGATTCTCTGAACCAGGAGGTAAAACTTCTGCCATGGGAACTGCTAACCCACACTAAGAGGGAAATTTCTTTATTTTTTGCAGGTTTGTGGGAGCAGCCAAGGTGTATGTACTACAACCTCCCCTGTTTCATTTTATGTTTCACTGCTCTCTGGACTCAGATTCTGGTTTTTGGTAAGAATAAACTCAGAGCAGGGCTGAAGGAGAGACCACCTCTATTGTTACACACAAGCCTCTGGTTTAGAGGAAGGTGAGGACGGTCAGTTCAGTTTCCCAAAAAATGCTCCTTAACAAGCCACTGCAGGTGGATTCCTACCCCTGCCCACTCTAGTGCTTTCCAGTTAGCTTGCAGAGTCCCCTTCCTCTACCAAGGACCACTACTGACAACCTGCCAAAGGCAGGCCACCCCTTCCCTTAAATCCAGCATTCTTAGCACCTACCCCACCCTGTGCCAGACTTGCTGGGGACTTGGTTCTCCAGTCTCCCACATCCTCCCACTCCTGATTTTCTCTCCCAGTCAGATGATGCCTTTCTATCCATCTCAACATAATTACAGAACCACCCAATTCTCCCACCAAGTAAAACATGCATCCTCTATGCTAATTACCCTGATTTGATCATTATGCATTGTGTACAGACACCAAAATATCACATTGTACCATAAATATATACAATTATGTGCCAATTAAAATAATAATTTTAAAATATTTTTTTTTAAAAGCATCCTCTAGGAAAGCTACTGAACCACTACCACCTCCATTTCCCATCTAGACCAGCACTGTCTGGTCAGTATCACCTTACCAGGAGTGAACCACACGGTAATCTCCCAAGAGCAGCAGCAAAGTTCTCTCTAACCCCATTTAGCTCCCAGGAGAAAATGAGGGGAACATGGCTAGAGTCAGACATCCTATAGATGATTCAATTACTATGTGTTGAATATGTGTGGAATATATTTACTGAGAACCTTCTCTATAAGAGCAAGTGTCAGAGCGCCTACAGATAACAGAGACAATAATCTCTCTAAGTGTGGATTTGAAGATAGAGAACTGGTTTGCCCACACAAACTGCTGACTTGAGGTTCAGATGACAATTTGCACAGAAGGATTAGTAGGGCAGCTACTTGTTCATTTTTATTTTGATTTGCAACTTGGATGCTGAAAACTGGCAAGAATATTCAAACATGGTTATTTTGCTCCTTGCAAGCCTTCCTATCTAATCATTATCTATGTTGCAAGTCATTCTCAAGTGGATAATCAGCAACCCCTGAGACTGTGTGTGCTGCACAACCATAAGGCACAGTAGAAAGACAAAGAATTTTGAGTCAGAAGGTCTACTTTCTTTTTTTTTTTGAGTTGGAGTCTCACTCTGTCGCCCAGACTGGAGTGCAGTGGCCGCTCCTGGCCACCGCAGCCTCGACCTGCTGGGCTCCGGCGATCCTTCCACCTCAGCCTTCCAAGTAGCTGGAACTACAGGCGCACGCTACCACACCCGGCTAATTTTTTGATTTATTGTAGAGATGAGTCTCACCAAGTTGCCCAGGCCGGTCTCGAACCCACGGGCTCAGGCAATTCACTCAACTCAAGCTTCCCAAGGCACGGGATTACAGACTGAGCCACCGAGCCCGACTAGAAGGTCCACTTTCTAGCTATCGAGTCTTGGCCAAACTTCCCCTGAGCTTCAACTTTCTCATCTGTAAAATAAGGATATTAATCCCTATCTATCTTATAGGACTACTGAGAGTATCTGATGAGATAATATATATAAAATATTTGTGCAAACTGTGAAGGACCCCAGACAGGAACAGTGCATGCGGGTGGCATTAGAGAGACATGGAATATAGTTCTGGGTTTGCAGCTAAGTTATTGCATGATTTTGTCTTGACCATCTCGCTTCTCTGGACATTGGCTTCTTCATAAGTGAAATGAAAAGAGACCCTGTAGCCCTGTTCATTCCCTTCCCCTTCAGGACCCCCACTAGGACGTGACATAGGAGCAGCCACAGGAAAGGTAATCTAGGACAGGAGTCAGAACTCCTGGGATGAGTGGGATGTTCCTCCCAGTTTCAAAACCAGCTCTGCATTGTAAACAAGCCACAACTTCCTCTATCCCTCTGAAATAACATCAAAGTAGGAGTGTCAGTTGAGGGCAGTACCCCCTCTTCCTCTACCCCAACTTCCCCATGGCTTTGCTGTGATGCTACCCAGCATCATGATGAAAATCAACACACACAGTAATTAATGCTAGACTCACAGCCATGTATAAAAAAAAGTCTTGAGCCTTTGTCAGACTTTGCCCTCCTCCATCCTTCTGTCCATCCTAGGCGTTGGAGATGGGGCTAGAGGAAAACCACAGAGGTCACAGTGTCCCACTTTTTATCCAGATGGAGTCATGTTTAAAATAGTAACAAGGACAGCCACGAAGAGAAGAGGGGAAAAAAAGTCCCAAAAGCTTAATTTGACTTCTTTCTATTCTTTCTTACCCTGTGGACTTCTCACACGTCTATGTTTCTGGCTAGCCAACTTCTCTTTTTTCTTTATGGTTTTAGAGCAGTCTCCCTTGGTGCCTAGGCTAGGTTATGGCATTCACTCTAAGTATCCTTTGATACTTCCTGTCTGGTCACATTGCTCATTTAATTTTATCTTTCTCTTAAACACCAAGCAGCAAAACCAATGTGTCTTATTCATGTCTATGTTCCCAGTGCCCAACATACTCCTGGCGCATGGTAGTACCCAATGATATTTATAAGATGCGTGCATATGAATGAAGAGAAAAGGAGACATCCTCTTTACCCTGGTGGCGAGGGTTGGTTAAGAGGCCAATGGAGTTAAATCTCAGATCTTTTCTTATCATCCTCCGCTCCCACTTCTTTTTTCTCCTGTTATGGTCCAAGTAACACTCAGCTACTCCTCTTGATACCAATAAATCAAAGGGGGCAGGGAACTAGTAGAAAGAAGCTTATGTCTGAGTTCGAATTCAGAGAGCAGACTCAAGGTCTTTCTAAAAGGTTCTGCTCCCCCCAGACTTTTACAGTTCACTTTTGTAAGTCCAGAATTATACCTATACAGTAGCCACGTGACCAGCAGAGCATTGTAGAGAACTTGAGTTGCTTATCGACAGTGACATTTCTTGGTCCAGACTTCCTGGTGCCAGGTATCAGAGGTATCTCATAGCTTTTATCAGCAGGCCCCCAGCAGAAGTGTTAATCAAGCTTGCCGTCAAGTAAAGGGAATTTACAAGGCCTGAGACATCAAGCATTACACAAAAGTTATACAAATCGCAAAACTTATTATTACATTGATATAACAGTTATACAAATCACAAGGCTTATGATAATATTGATACTATATTATTCAAACTTATAACCACTCAGAAAAAGGGAGTAAATGGGGATTTGCATCTTTCAGCTGATTGGTCATAGACTACAGGAAATCAAAGATCCCCTGAAGCTACTTGCTGGGAGTGCAGAAGGGATAAGGGGAAACGCACCTTTTATTAGCTCTCTGGAATATTGTTCAAGAATATACAGAAGCTCTTGAGTCCTTGCCACGATCTTCTCTAGGGGTTGTGACAATATGCAGAGACATTAGCAGGTCTCTGTATCACTCCCAAAGCTGGCCTCTGAGTCACACAACACGACCAGAATCATTAAAGCAGAAAAGGGACCCTCCTGCCCATGCAGTGGTAACATTATTCTCTCTTCCTTATAACTTGGTCAAATAACTACCATTTGCCTCACCAGCCAGGGTAAAATAGATATACCCTCTTGCCTCAAAGAAATAACTACTTTTCCTGCAATTGCCAAAAACTACTTTAGTTAAAAAAAAAAAAAGTTCATGATAATTGATGAAATTTAAAATATAAACGCACTCAGAACATAGAATAACTAACATATTCTCACTCTCGAATAAATTAAATTCAAAGAGGAGGTTCTGGAAATAGCAGTAACTTACTTTTGCTTAGCAGTGATTTACATTTCCATGGCATTATAGCAGCATTATCTATCTCATGTCATCTCACAGCAATCCTTTGAAGTGGACCACAGCGATCATTATTGTCATCCCCATTTTATAGACCTTGAGCACTGAAGCTCAGAAAGGAAAATTACTTGATCTGCCCAAAGTTACATAGGCTTACTAACTTACAGTTTCTTTGGCGTTTTCTGCCACATCTGATACCTCCCTTAGGAAGAGTTGGTGTTTCAAATCCTAGGCCTGGTGGAACAGTGAGAACCAAGGCAGAAAGGAGGGAAGAGAGTGACTACAGGCCTCACTTCCTTCACTGTTCAGCTCCGTTTTAACCAGCACCGTCTCTCTTCTCAGGTACCTAGCCTAGGTGCGATGCGGCATTCACTTTGCTCTTTTTCCTTAGGCCCTGATTAGGCCAAGTGGACAGGAATGTTAATTGTTACAGAATTCACAAATCCCATTCTGTTTTCTACATTTTTCTAAGAGAGAAATTTAATAAGGGATTTGGCTTCCAAAGTGGTTCAAAACCTGTGAAAGAGCTCAGGTTTGAGAAGCTGCTCTCAAGTTTTGGTTCCATTGCTAACCCTTGACTATCCTTGATACCTAAGAAACTCAACTTCTTGACCTACAACAAGAAAACATTTAGACCTTTGTCACAAAATGTCAAGTGAAAAGCTAGAAACTTGGCTATTTTTATGTAGATACAAGGACAAAACCTCCTGATAACACAAGGGTTTGCTGAGGGTCTCTGAGAAATCATCTCCTTCCCTGTAAATACAGAATAGGACTTCCCCTCATGTTTAGACAGAAGTTGAAGACTCTTTGAAAATCCCTGAGTAATTACATATCAAGGCTTGTATATGCTTCTCTTGGAGTATTTGCAATACATTAACTGGGTGAGCATGGCTTTAGGCACAGAAGTGACAAGGGACATGACCAATCAGTTTGGACACAACACAATCTAAATGTAATGCTTTATTTCAACAGATGCCTCCATGCTAGCGGAACAGGGAAAGTCAGGC